TTGTTTACCGAAGATGTGGGAAGCCCCCATATTTGTGATGAATAGATCTTTATGTTAATCTTTTTTTTTTTTTTTTAATACCAGTATTTAGTTTTTCAGCGTCAAAAACGTCAAGTCTTTCTCGACAGATCTCAAGATAGACAATCCGTATATTAATTCAGTTGGGTGTGGGCAACCCCTATTCTTGCTTAACATGTATGGGTCGAAGTTACGCTGTCACTAGGTCGACATTAGTTTAGAGCTTGGAGCCGGTTTTATTTTTCATGTTAAACTCGGTTTTAATCGGGTTTAACGTATGAAAAATAAAACTGGTTCCAAGCTTTAAATTGTTTACCGAAGATGTGGGAAGCCCCCATATTTGTGATGACTAGATCTTAGTGTTAATCTTTTTTTTTTTAAGAATAGATGTATAGATCGTTCCCTTCGATACGCCTATTTATCGCAGACCAATCAGAATGCATGTTGATCAGTGTTATTTTTTTTTACGTTTACTTTTTTTGTTTCAAAGTTGCACACCTTTTCAACGAAGTCACCATGGGATCAGAGGCTGAGCAATTCGTTCCTTGTTAAGTATATTTGTTCTTTTTTCCTGCTAATTTTCAGATTTTCTTTCGCTTATTTCTTTCCTTCTGAAATTGATTGGATTTAACGTAGATTCTAACTCTAGTCTGTTTCACTTAGGAGTTGTGGAATTGCCTCGCCGGAGATAATTTTATGGTTTGGTTTCGGAATTCTATTACAGCTGTTTTCATTATTCCTGGGACACCTATAAAAAAATTAGCCAAAAAATTTTTCGGGCGGTAATTTTTTCGGCATGATCGGTATTAGAGTGTCCACTATTTCTAGCATCTTAAATAGCACTAGCGATATCACGAAAACAACCAAACTAAATTCGATAAAATTTGTCTTATTTTTATTCTATAAACATTTAGAATTAAAGTAAACAATTCTAGTTGAATTTGATTATGTGGTTGTCGTAATATCACTAGTGCTATTTTAGATGCTAGAAATAGCTGGACACTCTGTATCTGCCAGATAAAACGTTAGATGCAAATCTTAATCTGATAGTTTTTGATAGATGTTATAGTGTTATAAGTTATATATTGTAATATATACTGTCTATGAAATGAGCTTGTTTGTAAATTAATTGGTTGAGATAAGTGTTAGTAAAATTAGTGTTATTGAAGTAATTAAGAATAAGTACTATTTATTTCCCGCAACGGCGGGAATAATAATAAGAGGTACGTACATCCCCGGTCATCCGGGGGCCCGAAGGGCCCACAGTAGGGTGGAGATCTACCTTCCTTATTCTTGGTTCGAATTTACGGTTTTTGATTCTTTTTTCTCATCTTTTGAGATAAGTTCGCCTATCCGTTAAAAAAAAAGAATAAGACTTTGGTCATTATGATTTCAAAGGATTCTACAAGAAAGAAAACTTGCCAAACTCGACACGTTAGTCGTTAACTAACAGAAGTTGTTTTAGATTTTAACAACTAAAATAAAAATCATTTACCCTTTCATTGGTCTCCTACATAATAAACTATTGTGAGCCGAGGGATATGCTACGTTCTCGTTCGTTCAGCTTGTTTAAACCAAAAGCATATCGAATTTTATTTTATTAAATAAAAATATATAAATTATAAGATTAATTAGATATCCGTTGCAATTTAAAATAAAACTTTGAATGAATCGCTATTATTGCTACCTTATGTGTTTCTGTCCGTATCTGCTAGAAACTGAGTTTCTATCCCGTATATGGTAATTTTAATATTATAATTCGTATACGTTGAAACATAAGGGGTAGATCGAAGTGTGTCTTAGTAATCTCAGAACGAATATTTAATATGTCAAAAGAATGTTTACATTTGAGATTTGAATGTATTTAAACAAGTAAATTTACCCATTCATTTTTAATCGTCTAAGATGTCTGAAAATATATCCGAAGCAGTACATATTATTGATCTTTTTTTTTTACAAACATTACTGTACAGTACCTTTGCTCACTTCTATTTATTTCGTAGGCTAAACAAGCTAATAGGAAGACTGAAGAGAAACCCGTGGTAGACGATGAACGCTGGGAGGATAGTAATAACTTGGACTGTGAACAAATCCTCGAAACGTACGAAAGTAAGTTGACTGTAATCAGTCGAGATAAAACTACAAAAGTAAGTTTACTGGGTATCACGTGTTTAGTGTACGTTTTGTTGACAGACGCTGCATGAGTGAGTCTTGGATTTAACCGACAAGAAATCGCATGTGAAAACGAAGTGTTCAAAAGTTGACGATGAAGTCAATCAAGTCTCTTTTGTAAGCACAATGATGACATCTACTCATTGAATTTTATTTCAACAGGAGATCAAAAAAAATCGACGTATGTTTAGAATACGCGTATGATATTGTAAAGTTGTTAAGAAAATACGGATTCGATGTTGATTATAATAAAGAAATTATCGCATCAGATAGGGATAAGGATCTTATTGTTACTTTTGAAGGTTAATCCGTTGTAAATACAGAGAGGAGAAAGTTGTTTGTTATAATGATATGGACATGCTTATAACTACGTTACAACAAGATTTTAATGATCATATTGGCGTGATGGTGTCTAACCAAGACTATTCTAAGAACGCAAAGAGTAAGGCGAATAAATTTAATATTCTAATGTGCCGGATAAAAAATCTTGTTAAAATGTTGGGCGATCATATTAATTATCTCAAAGAAGCTGAAAAGACAGAAAAACAAGAGTAATTTACGAATAAAAATAACTAACAAAAATAAATTTGATTTTTTCGAGTAATCCACGTGACATCATCATGTTTCATTTTTTAAAATTAATAGAATCATTTAAGGATAGTGACTAATATTCAATATTGGAATGACTTGTACATGGGAAATGATTTTGTGTATATAAATTATCAAATAAAACAATATTGAGCAATGTCCTTCATCAAGAAATTTATTAATAAAACGATATATTGATTGTAAATATAATTGTAATCATTGGTAATTTGCTTGTAAAAAAAAATCAAATATGTTTCCAGCTGAATTAATGATAAATATTTTTTCTTATCTTTACGATATGAAAGAATCTTTGTTTAGTTGTGTTGTAGTTTCTAGAACCTGGGCCAGTATCGCGATTCTTATACTTTGGCAAACCCCTTTTAAATACTATGAAAATAGCGAAAAGATAAATTCTTTAATAAAAGTTATCTGCTATATGATATCACTAATAAAAGTTAACCCTTCTTTATTTCCATAACCACCTTTTGTGAATTACAAGATTAAAACTAAGGTTGCCAGCCGTAGCTAATAATTACGGACATTACGGATTACAACCTGGGTTGCAACCCTAATTACAACTAA